GGGCCCAGTGGTGGCGCCTGTAGTCCCAGCTACTTGGGAGGCTGAGGCAGGAGGATCGCGGGAGCCCAGGAGTTGGAGGCTGCAGGGAGCTGTGATGATGTCATGGCACTGCAGCCTGGGGACAGAGCAAGACTCTGTCTCAATAAAAAGAAAAAAGGGAAATCATAGCCACACAGCTTTATTTCAGACTCTTCTTAATGTATTTACTTGACTTTGCACCAGACCACACTGTTTTGACCACGGTAGCTTTGCCACGATGTTTGAAACTGAATGGTGTCGGCCTCCAGCTTTGTGCGTTCTTTCCATAGCCGTTTTGTCTTTTCTAGAGCTGGTGCGTTTCCATATAGATTATAAAATCGGGCCGTGAGCTCCGCAGTGTCGTGCCAGGGTCGACTGGGATCGCTGGCAGAGGCGGCACCGGCGGGAGGGGGCGCCGGCCTGGGAGTGGCGCCTTCCGTCCCCTCGGGCCGTGAACATCATCTCTCGCCCCTTCGCCAGGGTGTCTGTGCCGCTGCTGAGGACGCTGGACCAGATGCTCGCCAACGGCTGCTTCGAGGTCTTCGCCGTGGAGGAGGAGTAAGGATTTGCTTATTCACTGCGTTTCCGGTGAAGCCCAAGTAGCTCACATTTTAAAGAAAGAGTCATCCAACCCAGAGACCAGAGTCCAGTGTGTCAGGGTCAGTTTGCAGCCACGCTGTCCCCCCACCCTGGCCGCAGCGGGGGCGGAGCTGGGGCGGCCGCGCTGTGCACCTTCGGCCAGGTGGGCAGGGCGACTCCGGGCACCCCGTTAGCTCAGGGCAGTGAAAGGGCCTGGGCAGGGCTGGGCCGGGCCAGGATGCGGGAGGCCGTTCCCCGCGTCTCCTTGGTTTGCGCTCCCTCCGCCTCCTGTGCGCAGTCGGCTGCAGCCGCCTCGGGGACGTCCCTGACCACGAGCTCTGACGCTGCCGTGGTGCCGGGTGGGCTTCAGCGTCTCCTCAGGGGCCAGTGCTCTTGCTTCTGAACTGTCCGGTGGGCCCAGAGCAGCATGTCTCGGGTTAATTTTCTCCTCCTGAGGGCTCTGCTCAGCGCTGGTGGCAGCAGCGCCGGGGCTTTTTCCCGTCATCTTTCCGTGTGGCTCGTCCCAGCCTGGGTAGAGGCCTTGCACTCAGGCGCCGCCCAGGACCCAGCGAGTCCTCACGGCCCTGGGAAGTCACCTCCGCGCTGCCGCTCCGCTGCGAGCACCCAGCTGCCGCCTGGCTCGGTGCTCCCTGCGGGAGCCACCGTCTCCCGGCCTCTGCGGTTCTCCACTGTCGAGGCGGGAGGCCAGCGTGTTCTCTGCGACGCCATCTTCTCAGGTACCGTGGACGCTTGTCAGTCGGCGTCAGCCCATCCTCTCGCTTTGCTCACGGTGTGTCCCCGGCTGGACTCCTCACACCTCCTGTGGGGGCGACGCCCAGTGTGTCTGTGGCCCGTTACCCTCTGACACACACCGCGGGGGGCGGCTCGCCGGGGGTCCTGTGTTTATCACGGGAGTCCCAGATTGGTCTGGGCATCTTTATCTTCAGCTGGGTCCTTTGATCTCTCACGTCCAGTTTTGGTTTCAGCCATTCAGAGGCGGGTCTCTGTCCTGCTGTCCTGGGCTGTCTCCTGCCCTCCTCCCCCCTCTGCTTTCTATCTGATTAACAGAATAATTTTTATCATCCATTTTTCTCATATTTGGGACTTTTCACTCGCTCTTCTGTTCTCTTGATGGTTACCCTAGAACTCACACCACCCTTGACTTACCACAGTCGCATCTTCAGTATTTTGTCCCCGTGGGCAGCAGCGGGGGTGCTGGGCTGCGGCCGCTGCTGCTGTGGCCAACCGCGCTTCTCCCCTGCCCGTGTCACTGCACCCATTGGGCCCATCCTCCTCTGCCCGGGGAACGCCCCTCAGCCTCGCTCTGCTGCGCTCTGGTTTCACCCGCAAGTCATTTCAGAGGGTGCAGATTCTGGGCAGCTGCTTTATTTCAGCACTTTAAACATACTGTCCACGTCCTCTGCCCTCCCCTCCTGGGCGGATCTTCTTTCTTGGTTGTCCCGTCGTCACCCTCGGTGGCCCTGTCTGCGAGTTGCACACGCTTCCTCTTTGCGAGATGTCTCTGAACTGCGGTTACATTTATCTGTGGAGTTCTTTCTTTTGGGTTTTTGCATCTTCTCAGATGTAGGTTTTTTAAGTGGTTTGTTTCCAACTCTGCCACATCCCGTTCTCTAGGTCACAGCTCCCTGCCGACCTTTGCACGTCTGGCTTCACCCTCTTGAATGTAGTTGTCCTGGCGGTTTCTCTGGGTGCGTCTGATCTGGAGTCTGGGGGTGTTCTGCGTTTTCCCCTCTGCTGCTCTCGCTGGATGCCACACGGGGAGAATTCCCGTCGGCAGGAGCCGGGGCCTGGGGCGAGGATGTCTTTGGCAGGCAGGACTTCAGTTTGCCTTTTCTGGGCACCTGAGGGCAGTAGCAGCCTGGGGTCTCCTTGACCCTCCAACAGCCACGAGGGTCTTCTAGACCTGCGGTCCCCAACCCCTGGGCTGCGGACCGGACTGTCGTGGGTTGTCAGGAACCAGCGGCTCAGCAGGAGGCGAGGGGCAGGCAAGCGAAGCTTCATCTGCACTGACGGCCGCTCCCCATCACCCGGGTCACCGCCTGAGCTCCGCCTCCCGTGAGAGCAGCGGCGGCATCAGATGCTCACAGGAGCGCGAGCCCTACTGCAAACTGCGCGTGGAAGGATCGAGGTTGCGGCTCCTTATGAGAAGCTGAGGCCTGATGATGGGAGGAGGAGCTGAGGCGGTGATGCTAGCGCAGGGGAGCAGCCGCACACACGGATTACCCTCAGCAGGGAGGTCTGACTGCACAGTAAATGTGATGCGCTTGAGTCATCCTGAACTGTCTCCTCCACCACCACCCCATCCATGGAAAAACTGTCTTCCAGGAAACCGGTCCCTGGTGCCACAAACTTTGGGGACCACTGTGGTCTAGACCGTCCGCGTGACGGAGCTGGGCAGCGGCCCCAGCGAAGGCAGGTGTGCCTTGTCCCCGGGCTCGTGCATAGAGTGTCCGGTCTGTGTCTTTGCCAGCACCAGGCTGCCGTTCTTAGCGCTGTTGCCATGGGGCTCAAACACCCTCTCAGCCCTCTGCAGAGTTTGCAAATCCCCCCAGGTCCAGAGCAGCCCCAGGTCCAGAGCAGCCCCGGGGCCAGGCTCGCCTCCCACGGAGGCGGCAGTAGTGGAGACACAGGTGTCCCGGCTGCTACTGTGCTGAGAACAGGCTGTGGGGTCCGGGGAATCCAGGGGAGAGAAGGTGGCGGCCTGGCCAGGTGGTGGCAGAGCAGTGGGGGACAGCGGCTAGGTTTGGGTGCCGTGGGTGTGCCAGCGGGTCTGCTGGCCACGGACGTGGAGGGCGAGAGAACAGGGAGCCCAGGGTGGCTGCTCTGGGACAGCCGGACGGGGAGACACGGACCAGGGACCTTCTCACGTCCAGCTGGAGACGCTCATTCGAGCCCACCCAGAAGCGGCGGGTTCACAGGGCTGGAGCTCGGCCCACAGTCCCCAGAGAGCGGGTGGGGTGTGAGCCTCGGAAGTCACCAGGGTGTAGACGAGGTGGCCAGGGACTTGGGCGTCGACCTAGAAGGGACACGGAAGCAGCAAGGCCCACAGGGATGGAGTGACGTGGGCCTCAGCCCCTGACGGTCACTTGGTCCCCAACACACCTCAGTGACCTGGGGAGAGACTGGACGGAGCCTGGGGGTGGGGGTGGGGACCAGAGACGCAGCGGACGCCTTGCAGCGACGGTGAGGACTCGGGTGGGGCCGGGCTGGGCTGCTGGCCTGGTGCTCCTGCTGCTCCCCCAGCGCACACGGTGCGTTCCTGGACTGTTGCAGCCCGGGAAGTGGCTGCCACAGACCCACCTAGACCGCAGTGCCCCAGCGCAGGGGTCACCAGGGTTGGGTGGACAGACAGGCCTGGTGGACACTGGCTGTTCCTTTGACCCAGGAGGAGGTGCTGGCCGGGGCTGGGGCATGTGTCCCTTGGTGTCACATGACATTCGGGCCGAGTCCTCTTCCGTTGGGGTCAGTCGGTTACGCCCATGTGATCACGTCATAACCATGCCAGTGGTCCGCCCACCACATGTTGAACTTGTGGGTGCCATATACACGAGGAGGGGGCGTCTCCTCTCGGCTGCACTCACGGGGGCAGTGAGGGAGCCGGTTCCCGTAACCTGGCTGTGTGTGACCAAGGGGCCTGGCCCTCCAGTCACTTCGTGGCCGCAGCTATCACCAGATGTCACCACGGTGTGCGTCACGTGTGGCCTGTGGGTCGCCCTGAAGCTCATCTCTAGATGGCGTGTTCTCCTTCCAGCCACCCCTTCTGCGTGAAGCTGCTTGCGCTTTGCAAGGAGGAAATCAAGAGGTCCAAGGACGTCCAGAAGCTCCAGTCGAGCATCGCAGTGTGAGTTTTCCGTGCTCCTGGCGGGGATGGCAGCAGGGGGCCTGGCGCAGACTGGCAGCTGCCGGCGGGACAGAGCAGTCTCATCACAGAGCTGCCTAAAATCGCGTGTCCCGAGGTCCGCAGGAAACGATCTTGGTGGAGGCTGAGGCACCCCAGGTGGGCAATGGCAACTGCCGGGCGTTCCCGCCGGCGCAGGTGAGCTGCGCCCCGCTCTGCCGCCTTCCCAGGGCAGCCTCCCGCCGGGGAGCTGGCGTGTGCGTGGGGGTGAGTCTTGTGCAACAGGCCCGACTCTCCTGACACGCCCCGGAGAGGGGCCTGGTGTTCCAGACGCCTCGACCTGCAGGGCTGCAGCGCACGCTCGGCCAGGGTGTGCCGGACGCCTCCCGGCTCTGCAGATGCCCGAGTGCCCCGCGGGGGCGCCTCGGCTTCCAGACCCCACTGAAGTCTCGGGCGGAGGGCGGTGCCGTGGCTCACGCCGGCTGGGCGTGCTGTCTCCGCAGGTTCTGCGGGATGGTGCAGTTCTGCGGCGCCGTGCGGAGGCAGGTGCTCCTGCAGCTGTGTCTGCTGCTCTGCCACCCCTTCCCCCTGGTGAGCCCCCCGCCCGGTGGGCCCCGGCCCTACCCTCAGGGTGGTCCCGAAGGAATGTCGCGTCCGCACGGTTTCCAGTCAGGCTCACACACCGGGGCAGAGCAGGGCCTTTGATTCTGTTCGAATGAACATAGACTTGTGGCTGCTTGTCCCGTGGGCTCGGGCTCCGCCCACACTGCAGCGCCCCCCACTCCGCCCCCCACAGGGTTAGGTCGCTAGGAGTTCTTTCCTCTGGCTGAAGAAAATCTCTTTAAATGATCTAAAGGTGACGTGTTCCTAGAAAGCGAAAGCAACTTCCACGGAACACTGTGGTTCTCGAAGCGGGGGCAGACCCTGCCGTGTCCCAGCTGTCAGCAGTGCGGGGTCTTGGGCCATCGTGCGACTCAGGCATTCTGGGTGGGCCTGGGGGTCTGAGACCACCCACTCGGTGAAGCGTCAGCACCAGGGCACAGCCAGGCAAGAAAGCAGCCGAGACTGGAACTGCTTCTCCGATACGGGGCAGGTTTTAGGGAAGCGTTGAAGGGCGGTCGACCGGACCGCAAGAAGCCCCTGCCCTGGTTCAGCTCAGCGTGTGAGATCCGCTCCCTCCCCCGGCAGGGTCCTGGCGTCTCTGTGGGTGGGGCCGTGGCGTTTCCCTCCCGCTGACACTCTGGCCCCGTCGCAGATCCGGAAGACCACGGCGAGCCGGGCGTACGAGATGGTGCTCACCTACAGCGACGTCGTGGGCGCCGACGCGCTGGACGAGGTCCTGGCTGTGCTCAGCGACACGGCGTGGTGAGTGAGGCCACCCACGCTGGGCTCCCCGTCCCCCCGTCTCCTGAAGCCCTCTGGAGGGAAGGAGCTCCCAGCTGACAGCTCAGCCCTGGTGTCACGGAGGCCAGTCGTGTGAGCGCGGCTCACACCACACACGGGGCTGCCGGGCCAGGCAGGGACGGGGTGTGTCCGGGGGATAATTCTCAAAGTGGAATTGTTTCTCTCTCTCATATAATTTGTTGTGAGTGAAGGGAGGGGGTGTTCTGACCTCAGACAAGCGTGTTTGTCCTGGGGGCTGCTCTCCTGCTCGCCACGTGGCCATCCTGGGCACTGTTGGCGGCTGCTGTGGCTGTTTTTGCCGTTTTATTCGCATTGGGTCACCCTGGGGAGTGACAGCTTCTTCCCCGAATACCGCTGGGGGTGAGCGAGACGCAGCGCAGCCGTTCACGCTGCCACAGGAACGCGCCGCCTGGGCCGCAGCCCGCTGCTTCCAGAGCCTGCAGGAGCGGGGGCCGCTGCGCCCGACCCCCCTGGGAGGCCCTCGGGCCCGCGTTGTGGGTTCTTGAGATGAGCCCGAGGAGGACACGTTTCAGAAATGAAGAGGTGCAGAAGGAAACGGGGACGAAAGGTTTCCTCCCTCCTCTGCCCCGGCGTCCGCTCCCTCCCAGGGTCCCGTGGGCGGCTTTTCTCTCGGTGGATGGAGCGGCAGGTCTGAGGTGCGTGGACTGGGGTGTGGCGGAGGCCTGCGCCAGCGCAGGGCCGGGAGGTGCCTGGGCCGACCACGTGGCCCTGGGAGCAGCACCAGGCGGTAGTGGTGATGGCGCTGTGCACACGCAGGCATACGCTCACGTGTACACATGCACACGTGCACACACCGTCTCACGCACACCGGAGTACACTCTTCCATGAGGGGAGCAGTCCTGTCACGTGTTTTCGAGAAAATGACTGAAACTCAGAGGTGGTGCCGGCGTCTAGACAGCATGGCCAGGGTGGGCCTTGGAGCGCCACAGTGAGGCCCCACGCCAACCCCAGAGCGCTGGCACCAGCTCTGTCGGGCCAGCGTGTCCTGCCTGCAGGTGAGGACGCGTGTGACGTGTTCATACGTGTCTCGTGCCCACAGCGAGGAGCACAGAGGCGGCCTCCGGGCCTTAGGGCTTCGTCTGGGGTTTCCAGTCATGGGAGGCGCGAGCTTCTTCGCTCCCAGAGCTCCCCGGCAGAAGCAGCTGTCTCGGCGCAGCGGGGTCGTCCGCCCAACGTCCCAGGGACGGCCCCACCTCAGACACGTTTGTCCATCGTGTTTCCAACTTGTAAAAGCCACCAAGGCACGTTCTAGAGCAGATTCCAAAACCATCAGCTTCAGGACAGTGGAGTGTCCTGAATCTCAGGCGCCACCGCTCCTCTTGGCGTTGAGGGGGGATTAGGGCGTGGGGTCCCCCCAAAACTAGTCCCCTTTAAAAAAATCCTTAGAACTCAACTGTATCACAAAAGAAAAACAGACCCAATATTTCTGCACAGCATTGCTAGGTTTTTTATTTTTAGTGAGAGTCACAAATAGTTCAAATAAAACCTTAAACGTGCTGCAGCCGCTGTCCTCTTGCATGTCCCTGCTGTGCGGCGCCTGGTCAGCTCTTGTCTGCGGGAACCCGTCCCCCGCAGGTGCCGAGGCGGGGTCGGCCTCGCGGAGGAGACGCGCGTGTGAACGTGTCTGTTCTGCCCTCCTGCCCGAGCGAGGGTGTGCCCGGGTGTAGGTTTCTGGGGTGGGAGGTGTCTTTTCTGCGATTTCCACCCAGTTTAAGGCGACGTGGGGTCTCTGCACACGAGACAAGAGGTTTTCGAGACTTTTAAGGTTCGTGTCGCTCACGGCTTCCTCCTCTCCGCAGGGACGCGAAGCTGCCAGCGGTGAGAGAGCAGCGGAACCGCCTGTGTGACCTCCTGGGCGTGCCCCGGCCCCAGCTGGTGGCCAAGGTAACCCTGCGTCACCCCCTCCGCACTACGGGGACGTGAGGCACCGCGCTGCCCGATGCCCTGTCATCTAGAATGTTCCGGGTCCCTCAGTCACACCACCAGCCCTTTGTTGAGGGGGAGAGTTAGGGCGTGGGGTTCCCCCATAACTTGGAATTTAAAAATAACTTTATTACAAAGGAAAAACACACCCATCTCAGTGCGTCCACGCGCAGCACAGGCTTCTGGGGCCTCTGGGGTCTGGGACCGGCAGGGCTGGCTCCACGGACGAGGTTTGGCACCTTTCCACGTGACCACGCTCTGCTCCGTGCCTGTTCAGGCCTTTCCCTGTCTGCCTGCCCGGGTTCCTCACGTACTTTGCATGCCGCAAACATCCGGGTCCAGGAGGACCTTCTCATCCTTGGATTTAGTACGTTGCAACTCACTGTTTCCCTTTTTATTGAGTTTCATGACTCCTGCTTAAGGAACCTCTGCCCACTTCCAGGTTATGTTGAGTCTCCAGTTTTTTCTGAAAACTTTGTTTTAACTTTTCCCCTGAAATTCACGGTCCACCTGGAACTGATTTTTGTAGCTGAGGGGAGGGCACGCGCGTGACTGGCTCTGGGCTCTTCCACGGACCCATCTGTCCAGCAGAGACAGGTGTGTGGTATCTGGCTGTGTCCTCCCGTTTTATTTTCTTCAAGATCGTCTTGAGTTCTGGGCCCTTTGGGGTTCTGTAAACTTTCAGAATCAACTCACATTTGCGCGAACGACATCGAGTCCTCCGGCCCCGCGGGGCGCGTCTGCGGTTTTTGCAGCAGAGACCATGCCGTCTGTAACTGGCCCACAGTTCTCAGATCATCTCTTGGGTTTGTTTTTTTTCTTCCATTCTTTTTTCTCTTTGCCGTTTAGTTTGGGAAGTTCCTGTTACCTTGTCATCTTCACGCTCACGGACTCTCCTCGGACACGTCTGGCGTGGCCTTTCCCGGCGCTGTTCTGTTCCTGTCGGCTCATCGATCAGTTGTCTAAATCCCTTCTGTCATTCCAGCGCCTGGTGCTGATGCTCGATTCGTCTCTCTGGATTCTGCTTTTTCTCAGCACATCCTCCGAGCTCTTGCCGAGAGCGGGTGTGTCGTTTGGGTCAGGAAGAACGGAGGTGAACAGGCCTTTGGCGCGAGGGTTTGTTTTTCTGGCTGGAGCTGCTCTGTCCAGTGTTCGCAGCGGCTGCGTCTGTTCCCCTGACCTTGGGCTTCCCTGCGTTCTTCTCCGGGAGACGGAGTCCTGCCGCCCCCTCCCGCAACCAAAACCCCCGAACCCGGGGGGGGGGACCAGGAAGGCCGCCGGGCCAAGGAAGAAAAAGCCCCAACCGCCGGGCCCCCCCCCCAGAGCCAGGAGGGTTTCGGGGGCCCCGCAGCGTCTCAGCCTCCAGCAGTTTGTCCCAGCTGTGCCTGCAGGTGTGGGGGCTGCGCCAGCCGGGCCAACCCCAGCGATGCTCCGCACTCGCCTCCCTCCCGTCTCAGGAAAGGGATTCTCAGCGTCTGCGGCTTTTCCTGTCGGGGGACGGGTGGCGCCCCCAGCTCCTTACCGGTCGCGGCCGATGCCAGCGCCCTGCCCATTAGGTCATGTTTCTGATCACGCCGCGCAGGCCCCTCAGAACCGCCTGGCTGTGCCGTGGTCTTGCCCTGCCAGCTGCGGAGAGGTGGGGACGTGGCGTCTCGGTTCCTCTTCTGCTCCGTCACCTTCCCAGCGTGACTTGCCAGGTGCTCCTGTGCCTGTGCGTGGCGGCGTCTTGGCCACCACTTGTAACGACGCGTTGTGCCTTCGAGCCAACGCCGACACAGCCGCACCGGACTCCTTGGTCTTTGTCGTGTTCTCCTCCCTCATTTCACCTTCGACTCTGCCCTCACATCTGAACGGAGCGCTACCGTGCGATTGCTGGCGCGGGCTCACGCCGCCCTCGTTCTCTGTTTGACCCTCCTGGTCAACGTTCCTTGTCTCCATTTCGGTCACTTTGCTTCCCCTTCAGCCCCGCCTGCTGGCGACCCGCCCGGCCATCCCGGTTGCGTCTGGGGCTGGCGCCCGTTCTCGGCTGCCGTCTGCCCTGTGGGCCCCTCAGCCGCCCGTTCCCTGCGCCTCACTGACGCGCGTTTTCTTCTGGGCGCTTGCGCTTCGTTAGCGTTTCTGAGATCTTTGTCTTTTCCTCCCTTCTCTCCTCGCCGGCCCTCCTGGGGCTGGACGGGCCGTGCCCCCCACCCTTGCAGGAACCGGGGGGCAGTGATCTGGGCCAAGTGACAACCCAAGGGGTGAGGATAGCGTGAGCATCGTGACGTGGTCTCTCCTGGTTCCTTGGGTGTGAAGGCTTCTGAATTAAATGTGCTTTTTACATTTTTATTAGGAAATATTTCAAACACGATGAAGGAAGTTAGAACAGTATTGTGAACCCTACCCTCACCATGCGGCGTCAGCCGTGGCGGTGCCCTTGTGGGGCTGAGGTCGCATCGGCCGTGGGCTCCCCGGGCAATGGCGCAAACGCAGCCTCAGCCCTCGCCGTGGACTGCAGATCAATGGGGCGTCAGCCTGACCTTGTCCCGTCTCTTCCACAGCCGACCCACTCCTGAAGCCGGTCCGGGGAGCTGAGCCTCAGCCTGCCCGGGCAGATGCCCTGTTCCCGAGGGAGGGGAACCAGACGTGCTGGCAACACGGGAAACCTGGTGCCACGGTCCCTCCGTCCATCGCAGGCTGGGGTGCGGCGCCATCCGGCCCTTGTGGACACGTTGTCACACGTCCCACGAGGGGCAGTCTGTTGGACAGAACGATCAGCCTTGTGGCCCCGACATCATAGATGAGAACCATGACTGAGCTTCACCTCGGACATGGACACAGACGTCCCTCACCTGCTGACTTGCGACGCTCCCAACAGCATGACGAGAGCTCACCCTTCGACACGTCACAGTGACACTGTCAGAGTAAGACCTCCATCGTGCCGAGAGCAGTAACTGTCACTCGCTGGAACTGCCCGGCCGCACTGAGTTATGGAAAATCAGCCTTGCTCACGTGGGTTGTAATATTTGGGGCCAAATCACTTCCTTGTGAGGCCGTCCTGTGCGTCGCAGCGTGTTCAGCGCCAGCCACCCCCTGCCCAGCTGTGACAGCAAACATGTTTCTAGACGTTGCCAGGTGTCTCCCGGGGGCAAACTGAACCGCTGCTCTAGCGTATAAAAGCAGGAGGAACATGATGGAGGCTGGATACTCTCAGATGCGAGGAAGATGCTCAACAGAGCAATAAACTGTGACGACATAAGCAAAACAACGATGGCTCGTGTGGATTTTAAGCACGTAGAATTGCTCAATCAAGATGGACAACAGTAGCATGTAAATCAGGGCAGAGCTGGTGGTTGGATTTAAAGCATCTCGTGTCTGTATGTTCTGGAATAAAGTACAAATAAAATTGACTTACCAGCTTGGCTAAGCATGCATGCCGAAATATTTGGGTTCACCACAAAAAGTGTTAACATATGGGGACTATAACTTCTTCACTGGTAGGGGAGAAAAATGGAATAAGTAAAAAGTACTATTAAAAATGCAAGAATAACAAAAAAGGACACGATGCAAAAAATATTAGCAACATTAGCACACACAATAAGCGTAAATGGATTAAACTCTCTACTATATGACAGTTCTCCAGGTACAGAACAGATTATACTACATGTGATTTACAAGTGACACACCTGAAACACAGGCATAGACAAGGTCAAGAAAGCTGGGCCAAGGTCATCAATAGAGGAGGTGCCTGTATTAGTATTTTTAAAAACAGAGTTAAGGCAAACAGTGATATTAGATCATGACGATTAAAGATTCAATAGGGAGATGACAGAACTTTCCTACCCTTGTATGTACCTAATGACAGAAATCGATCGATCCACCACCATGGTGTATTTTATTGAAATTGACATATCCAATGTAAAATTGGTAAGGTGGTGTTGAAAAATACAAGCTTGACCTAATGGACATGTACAGAATGTGGAACCTAAACGTGTGTGAACACATGCAATTTCAGACTCTGACACCACAGACTTTTGCTTTAAAACACGTGATTTTTAATAAGGTCACCATTTTTAAAAAATGGTTTAAAAAGAAATTATAAAATATGTAACGAAAGTTAATAAAATGCTGTTACCCACAACAGATGGATTGTGCCTGTGTGTATGTATTACTGCGTGTGCTCAGGACTCCAGAATCCCGTATGTATTTAAGAAAAGCTGAAACTAATGCACTAAACATAAGAAGTGAGACTAACCCTAAAAGAGAGTAGAAAGAAAGAATTGTAAGACTAGGATTTATGAAAGCTTTTCAACATGGGCCTAACAGAGCAAAAAAAAAAAATTGAGGGAAGGGAATGGAGCTTAATAAAAAGGTTCAACAAACCCAAACGGCGCTTCAGTGAAGACTCACCCGGGCGGCTGCTGCCGGGTCGTCAGCTGAAGAGCAGGAAGTCCTGGCCCTCCCGCAGGTGCAGCGACCTCAGGTTGTCCTCGAACGCGCCCCCCGTGAGGTCCTGTTGGGGGAACAACGGGCCTGGCTCAGTCGGGACCCCCTTGCTCACAGGGGCGGGGGGCTGGGGGTTGCCGTATCCACCTCTCACGTGGTCTGCGAACTTCTCTGCCATTAAAACCAGATGCTTCCACAGGTCGACATACTCCATTAAGAGAGTGAAAAGGGGAGGGGCCAGAGAGGGCTGCGGCCAGGTCGCTTTCTTCCCAGGTCCTGCTGGTCACCGGCTGGGGGGGGGGGTCCTCTGAGGCGCCCCTGCCCCCTGGCCTGGGCCCTCGTGGCAGAAGGCAGCGAACGCCCCACCAGAGGGACTAGAAATGAAACGAGTGCGGCCAGGGCACCCCGCCCATGTGCCGGGGCCAGAGCAGGGAGGAGGCCCCTCAGACAGAGCCTGCTTCTCAGGGCCAAGCCGACCCCGTCTGACCCCGTGGCTTTGCGCCTCCCATCCCTGCAGCAGGTTTCAGGAAACACCTGCAAGGCGAGGGCAGGTGGGCGGCCCTCAGGCCCACCCCTCAAGCCAGGGTCTGCAGACACGGCCCCGCCCAGCACCCGAGTCTTGGGCCTCCAAGCAAGACGCGGGAGGGACCATCCGCGCCCGTCAGACTCGCCTGTCCGGGGACCCGGCTGTGCTCCCCTCTTGTCACAGCCCACGGCTACTCCACCACCCAGAAAACGCCGCTGTCCCCATGCTTTGCCTTTGGCCTGCTCTTAGCTCTGCTCCCGGAGTCTGCAGAGGAACCACGCCAGCCCGGTGAGCATTTACGCCACCTTTGAACGAGACTCCGTTAAAACCAGATGCTTCTCTGAATTGACATAGTCCATTAGGAGAATGAAAAGTCCAGCCGCAACGCAGGGGAAGACGCTCGCAGAACAGAAACCAGCCAGGCCTAGAACCCAAGGTACAGTTAGTTAGGTGGGGAAGGCGCACAACCCAGTAGACAAACGGGGAAGAGTCTGACCGGAAACGTCACGAGTAAATCCGGGCGTCCCACAGAGACCGAGGTGCTCAGCCTCAGTGATCAGACACGTCTTAAAGCCACGGTGGGCGTTTTCCCCAAGCCTGGTGGGAACTGAGTGTGCCCAGCCCACAGCGCCTGGGCGTGTCCCCGGCCTCTACTTCATGGTCACTGTCCAGAGCAGGGCCCGAGTGCAGGCACGGTGAGAAAACGACCTAAGCGGAGGTCGGCAAGCGATGGCCCGCAGGTCAGACCCAGCCCGCTGCATGCCTTTACAGTTTCATCAGAACACACAGGACGTGCAACCGCAAAGCCAACGACACTCACCGTTTGTTGCTCAGAGAGCAGCTTGGCCACTGGTCCTAGAGCACCTACGACGGGATGAACAGCCACGCGCCAGGTCAGCCTCCCGGCACCGCGACAGGGCTGGTCAGCGTGGCACTGCGTGTGGATGCGTCCCTGAGCAGCACGCTGCCCATGCGGACGGAATCAAACGTCTGTGTTCTCACGTCTGGCCTCTCTCAGCGTGTGTGAGGCATACACGTGTTGCCATGTGTGGCTGTCGTGGAGTTTCCACGCCTGTGTGTGGACACCGTCGGGGGCCTGCAGGAGGCAGTTCCCACTTTGCTGTAGGTGACGCCGCTGTGTCTCCCAGGTCTAATCCTTGGAGCGGAAATGTGCGTCCTAGCAGGTGGCCGTGTCTTTGGCGTCTCTAGACGATGCCATCCAGGTGGCCGGCCAGGTGACACGCCCACTTGCGACACGTCACAGGTTGTTTCCTTATCATGTTAAGAAAACACTGAGAAGCGCGGTGGCTCATGCCTGTAATCCTAGCTCTCCGGGAGGCCGAGGCGGGCGGATTGTTTGAGCTCAGGAGTTTGAAACCAGCCTGAGCAAGAGCGAGACCCTGTCTCTACTAAAATTAGAAAGAAATTAATT